CAGGAGCAGGAAGGGTCATGTTAGTGTTCTATTGGGGAGGGGGTGGAGTGGGGATAGGGTGGGCCGAGGTTGTGTTACATTTTACTGGAGGTACAACAGGGCTGATTTGTTATAGGAGGAGGCTGTTGGCTCGCAGATTTGAACTTCGCGCTGGAAACCGTACAGGCTTAGGGTCTTTGTTGTTTTGGGTGGCAGTGCCATCTTGGGGGACGCCCTTCTGACTGTTCTCTGCGCCCTTCAAGTATGAATATGTAAAAAATGTTATGTTAAAGATTTGTGGAAAAAGGTAACTTACAATGACCTGTAATCCTGTACTTTCAAAAAAAATTTTTTTTTAATTTTATTTAGTCTCACCTCGTTGCCCAGGCTGGAGTGCAGTGGCACGCTCACAGCCACCCAGCGTCAACCTGCTGGGCTCCGGTGATCCTTTCGCCTCGGCCTTCCAAGTAGCTGAAACTACAGGTGTGCGCTACCACGCCCAGCTAGTTTTTGCTTTCTTGTAGAGACGAGGTCTTGCCAAGTTGCCCGGGCAGGTCTCAAACCTGTGGGCTCAGGCAATCCACTTGCCTCCGTCTCCCAGAGTGCTGGGATTACAGGCTGAGCCACTGAACCAGGCCACTTTCAGAAATTGTAATAAGACCCCACCCCACCCCGCTCCTGAGCTGGTTGGCAGTCTTTGTCACCTTGTCACCCTCATCCTCGCCCCCTCCCATACACACCCCTTCTCCCTTTCCCAGTCCTCCTGCTGGGGCTGTTGATCATTTTTATCCTCACTTCTGCGGGGGACTGCCAGCGCCAGCTATTGTGTCTGATCAGATACCACCACCATCCTGAAGGGGAAGAAGAACAAAACCTAGAAGCTGTGGGGCTTGCTTACCTTTTCCTTCTCTCTTACTACACCGTCCCCTAAAGACTTAGAGCTATCCCTCTTCCCTGTCCTCCACCTAGGGTTGTTTTTTTGAGGGGTGGGGGGCACATAAAAAATTCCCTGGAACTTGAATACCTGTGACTTAGTAGTTAGATCTTCCTTGGAGTGGAGAAGCCAACAATATGTCACTAAATCCTCAGCTTCAATTAGAGGACAGATGTTGACTAGGTAATTTTTTTATGGACATGAAATGTGCATGTCTTGATGGCCAGTGACCAAACTAGTCAGCTCATAATCAAGAAAATAAAAAACAAAAGACATTTTTTAATACTTAAATTCTTCAAGTTTTAAATTCGGTCTCTCTAGGGTAGGGTTAAAAAAAAAAAAAAAAGCTTCAAGAAGCCACATCTACCCCATACCCTCCTCCTGAACTGCCTGCAGACCAGCCTGGATACCTGGTATTAAGTCCTGGGAGGAAGATCAACTAGCTCAGTTGGGAAGGCCACTATCAAGTACTCCTGACCACCGAGACCACTATATGGACAATAGAAAAATGTTGAACTCATTATACATGTGTTAAGGGGCATAGATCATTGTCCCCACGCCTCCTAGTTGGGGGGATATATGTTGGACCATGCAGCAGCACTGGGGTGGACTGCTGCTACTTCATTTGGAGATCCTAGGGGATGGAATTGTTTACAATCCAGTATAAAGGGTCACAAATTCTAGAAATTAAAACAGGCTATGGAGAAACCAATGCCTGGGTAGAATGAGTCAAATTTTCTGTACTAGCTTTGAACAAAAGCAACTGTTATGCTTGTGCTGTGGAACAGCCACAAGCACAGGTGGTCCCATTCCCTCTCGGCTCTGACACAGACCCCACTGGGATGAGTTGTATGCTTGCCTTATACCAAGACAAGGACACTTGGGGAAGCAAGACTTGTAAGAGCTTGTCTCTGCTCTTGCCTGCACTGCAGAGGTCAGACCTGAGGGCAATCCCCTCCTTTTCCTTAGGGAGGATGAATCACTCATGTCTCTCTAGATAAGGGTAAGGAATGTTTCACAACTCCTGTGGGACAATTGCTGATTTGCTAGTCTTTGTTTGACAATTGATTGCCTTTTATGAATGGGTATAAGTCCTTTATTTAGCTCTAGCTCTCATTTTCCAGGTGAGGAACCAGGCTCTTAAGAAAATGACTTGCCCAAAGTCTGACAACTGACTGTGCACCTAACATGGCAAGAACACATGTAAATCCTGCTGGCACATTTCACAGACTTACCAGGATGACAAAATTACTTCACACTTTCTCCTTCTAAACTAGAGGTACAACCAAATCTAAATACAACAAAATAGTCACAATAAAATCATCCTTAATAAGATTAAGTGGGTGGGTGGCCTATTTACTTCAGGTATTTTACCAAATTGTTTTGTTTGTAAGTAGGAGTCTCACTCTGTCACCTAGGCTGGAGTGCAGTGGCATGCTGCTCACAACCACCGCAGCCTCGACCTGCTGGGCTCAGGTAATTTTTCTGCCTCAGCCTTCCAAGTAGCTGGAACTACAGGTGCATGCCACTGCACCTGACTAATTTTTTGATTTATTGTAGAGACAAGGTCTCCCCAAGTTGCCCAGGCTGGTCTTGAACTCCTGGGCTCAGTCAGTCCTCTTGCCTCTGCCCAGCAAAACCATGTTTCAATATCGTAAAAATATTTGAACTGGCTGGGTGCAGTGGCTCACGCCTATAATCCCAGCACCCTGGGAGGCCAAGGTGAGAAGATTGCTTGAGCTCACGAGTTTGAGACCAGCCTGGGCAACTTGGCAAGACCTCATCTCTACAATAAAATCAAAAAATTATTTGGGCTTGGTGGCACGTGCCTGTAGTTCCAGCTACTTGAAAGGCTTAGGTGGAAGGATCGCCTGAGCCCAGCAGGTCAAGGCTGTGGTGGCTGTCAGCATGCCACTGCACTCCAGCCTGAGCAATAGAGTGAGACTCTGACTAAAAAAAAAGAAAAGAAAATTTGGACCATATTTTAAATGTAATTATTCAGTAACAGCCAATGATGGTTTCTTTACTATTCCATAAAGAAACTTACAGGAAAACAGCCAAAAAAAAGAATATAGGATAGGTAGCATATATGATATGAAAATTTCAAAGAGGACAGAGGGCATTTGTGAATTTGAATAAGACAAGAGTAGTCTTTGTGCCATGTATAATAGATGCTTTAAAAATGTATATTCCTGGAAAAGGTTACCAAAGGCAAATCTTACTTTTAAGTAGACAGAGCATTATGAAAAGGGCACTAATTCCTGACCAAGGGTTCAGTGGCCACATACTTAATAGAAATTATTAGTTGATTTAATCAAATATAAATGATATATCCATGGACGCTCTAAAGACAAGCTGTACTTCCCTGAACCTTCTCACCCCCACTTACGTGCTCCCTTGTTGCAATCTGACCTCTCTTAGCTCCACTGAGTGACTCACCAGGGTCACCACTTGTTGCCAAACCGTAGACATGCATTCTTCCAGCCATTCATTCAGTGAGACCTGCTGTATGCTGGGTGCTGTGCTGGGTGCGGGGTACAGTCCTGAGGGGGAAGATACAAGGTCATCTGACAAGGTTAAGTGTACATAACTAGAGAGCCTAATGAAAGTTCCTGGACGCAGTCCAGGGCACTCTGAGAGCAGGTGAAGGTTCTGAGATCTGGGGAGTGCGTGTCTTGCAGGAAACTACATTTTAGCTGCAGTCTGAAGGGCATAGGAGGTTGATCTAGGGAGGAGGGGAGTGAGTGTTAAGGAGGTGGAACTGGCTGGCGGGACTTCTTCTGAGCCAGGAGAAGCAGGAGAATCTGCTGGGACTTTGCAGAGCACCAAAGGCTCCAGCTGAGGCTGAAGAGACAGGGCCCAGCAGTACCAGCGTGTACCACGGTGTTCGTCCTCAAGCAAGGAGAGAACACTGGGGGGCGGGGGCTGTGGGCAAGGGAGGACAGTGGTCAGTCCGTGTAGAAACCCATTGTTCCAGGTACATTGTTTAAAAGGAGGAAGGCAACCGGGCGTGGTGGCGCATGCCTGTGATCTCAGCACATTGGGAGGTGGAGGCAAAAGGATTTCTTGAACTCAGGGATTCAAGACCAGCCTGGGTAACTTGGCAAGAACTTGTCCTACAATAAATAAAAAAAATTAGCTGGGCATGGTGGTGTGTGTCTGTCATTTCAGCTACTTGGAAGGCTGAGGCGAAAGGATCACCTGAGCCCAACAGGTTGAGGCTGCCGTGACTGTGAGCATGCCACTGCACTCCAGCCTGGATGACACAGTGAGACTCCAACTCATAAAAAAAAAAAAGAAGTCATTGAGGAAGAAGAGGAGAAGAAGGAAGTGGGAAGGAGAGGAGGAGGGAAAAGTTTATAGTCATTTTTATGGTTTTAGCTTTTTTTTTTTTTTTTGA